CCCCCCCCCCCAAAGGATATCATTCTGGTTTGTTTCCGGCCGGAGCGTGAATCCTTCCTCGTCCACCTCGGGGGGGCTGCGGAGAGACAACGTGGCTGGGGTGGGGTGGGGGGAGCAACACAGGCCACCCCCAAATGCCACGGATGGGGGGCAGCCCGAGACAAGCCCTGCAAAGGGGGCTCTGGGCAGTTCGAGGGCCCCCACCCAAGCAAAGCCCACCACTCAGCTGCACCGCCTTGGAGGGCGCCTCCTCACCCCCGAATCCGCCTCCGGAGACTCCCTGGGGAGAGAGGGGGAGAAGGGGTGAGTGGGGCGGGGGGATGGGGGGGCTGGACAGCCAGGACCGATGGCCGGGGGGGGTGGGGGGGGCAGCCATACTCACGCCGAGTCCCGCCCACGCTCCTTGCGCCCGAGTCCGGGAATGCGGAAGGCTTTGCTGCGGCTGCGCTTGGGCCCTGGGGGAGGCGAGGGGGGGCTTTTCAGGGTCAAGAGCACAAGGGGGGGCCCTTGGCTGGGCGGGGGGGCTGCCAGGGCAGAGCTGCTTGGTTGGGGGGCATCTGCTTAGCGAGGGGGAGGGAGGGGCCCCAGGCAGCCCCAGGATCCGGGCCTGAGATTCAGAGGGAGGGGGGCAGAAGGGAAGGGGGGGGGAGACGCCTGCCAGGCCCTCCCCCAAGAGAAAGGGGGCAGGAGGGCAGGAAAAGGGAGCTGCAGGGGGGCATGTGGGCCACGGGGCTCCCCTCCAGTCCCGCCCCCCCCCCTGCCCCAGAGCAGACGGACACGCTCACCGCCCGACGCATGGAGGAAGCGCAGGGGGCATTGCTGAGGGGGCCCGACTCACGACCGCACCTCCTGGAGCCCCCTGGACGGCCTGGCGAGGAGCAAACCCTCCATGGGTGGGGCCGGGGGGGGGGGCATCTCCGCCTGTGAGCTCTTGTGGCCCAGAGACCCCTCCCCCCCGCAGCCCCCAGGCCAGCCTGCCAAAGGCCCCCAAAGCCCAGCCAGACGTACTTGCCTTCCTGCCAGGCGGACGCCATGCTCAGCTCCTCCAGGTCCAGGGGCCCTGCGCGGGGGGGGGGGGCAGAGAGAAGCCTGAGGTGAGGTGGGGGCCGAGCACCCCCAAGCCCCCCCCCCCCCCCCCAAGGACGTGGCCCGCCAGCCCCTCCTTCCACCTGCACCGCTCCGAGCTAAGAGGGCCCCGAGCCTCCTGGATGGGGTCCTTCGTGGAAATGCCCGCCGGTCCATCGGGGCTGCCCCCCCGGGGGGGGCCCTCACCTGGCGGGGTGCAGCCGGTGCCCTTCCCCTCGGCAAAGTTGCGCAGCAGCGTCTCCACCCCGATGTTCTCCATGTTCTGCTTGAATTCCTCCTGCACCTGAGCAGGGGAGGGAGGGAGGGACCCTCCTGAGGCCCCCAAAGGGACCCCAGGTGCCCCGGAGGGCAGGAGAGCACCTGTCCGCCCTCCCCCCTCCCCCGAGACCCCAGCAACGCCCCCCCAGCCAGCGCCCTTGAGGAGGGGCCCCTCTGCCCGCCTCCTGCCAGCCCTTGGAGGGCGAGAGAGAAAGGGGAGGGGCCCCAGCAGGGGGGGGGAGGGCTGCAATTGCATAAGCCCCTCCCCGATGGGGCCCTGCAGAGCATCGGCAGGCAGGGGCCCGCCTGGCAGGTCTGCCCAGAAGCCCCCTCCCCACGGGACCGGCCACGCCCTCCTCACCTGTCCGATCTGGACGTGGGTGTCCTCCACCGAGTGGATGTAGGAGCCCACCAGGGCCTTCAGGTGCTGCAGGTGCGACTCCTCCACCTCCTGGAACCGCTGGGCGGGGCAGGCAGGAGAGGGGCTGTGGGTCTGGCGGGGGGCAGACCTCGTGCCAAGGGGGGGGGGCAGCCAGGTCTGCGTCCCTGGGGGGGGGGGGGGGGGGGGGCAGGCCCAGTCTACGCTGAGGCCCCGCTCCCCATCCCCCACCCCCCCCGTGACCCACAGGGTGGGGGGGGGCAGAGCAACGTCCCCCCTCCCCTCCCAGGGCCCTTCCTGGCCGGCGTAAATGGGAGAGACTTGGGGAGGCCCAACAAAGTGCCCGCTCACCCAACAGCCCCCCCCCCAAAGGGGAGGGCACCGGTCAGCCCCCTGCGCACTGCCCCCCCCCCCACTTACCACGGCCGAGTCCAGCATCTTCTGCTCAAAGTCGGCACGGGCCGCGTTGTACTTCTCCACGGTGCGTCGCAGAGCCTCCATGGCCTTTCGGGACTTCAGCTCCGCCTTGGTGGGGGGGGGAAATGCATGGGGGGGGGGGCAAAGTCAGGGCAAGTCCCCGCCCCCCGAGCGGCCCCCTTCCCCCCCCCTCCAGCCAGAGACCCCAAGCAGGGCTGCTGACCTTGTCCAGCTCCTTCTGGCCGGCGCCCTCCCGGCGGAGCCTCTCCAGCTCCTGGCAGCGGCTGTGGAAGGCCTCCTTGGCTTTGGGCAGGTGCTGGGCCGCCCCCTGGAGCTGCTGGACGGCCTCCAGGGTCCCGGCCACCTCGTCCTTCGACTGACCGGGGAGGAAGAGGAGCGGGAGAAGACCTCGTGGCCCTTCTTCTGGCATGGGGGGAGGGGAGGGGGGCCCCACCCACTGTCCCCCACCGGGGCCCCCGAGGGCGTTGGGCAGCATTGGGCCAGAGGGCCCGGGACCCCTTGGCCAGTCTCGGGGGGGGTGGGGGTGTCAAAGGGATATTCCCCCCCCCTCGGGGTCCCTGGAGAACTGGGGCCGGCGGGGGGTCACCTTTCTGTGGGCTCGCAGCTGCTCCTCCCCGTAGCGGCCGATCTCTTTGAGGAGATCCTGCAGCTTCTTCACCAGCTCCGCGTGGCACAGCGCCAGCTTGTCCGAGGAGATGCGGAAGACCTCCCAGAGGGGGGCAAAGGTCCTGGGGGGGGCACACACGGGCAGCGCCTCAACCTCCAGGACCCCCCTCGCTCCTCCAGAGGAGCTCAAAGGCCAGGACCCTCGTCCCGCAGGCAGGGAACGGGCAGCCTCTCCCCACAGGGCGTGGCAGAGGAAGAGGGTGCGGCCCCCCCAGGCCCCCCTCCCCCCAGAATGCCCCCAGGCCCCCTCCTCACCCCAGCTGGGTGCTGTTGCCGGCCATCTTGGACATCTTGACCATGGACTTGGCGTAGGCTTCCTCCACAGCCGCCCTGGCCGGGTGGGGGGAAAGAGAGAGACCCCCGTCACCCCAAGCAGGCTTCGGGGAGGGACAGGCCCCTGCTCCCGCGCACTCTCTGGCGGACGGGGGAGGGCCTTCCTTGGACCCGCCTCTCAGGGAATCCCTGCCGAGCACACACACACCCCCTTAGCACAGACAGGGCGGCCGGCCAGAGTCTATGGTCGCGGGACTCAAAACCGCCTCGGTCTATTCTGCCTGCCCAGCCCCATGGGCTCCGTTACCCCTGCAGGTTTCTACTCGAGCAATGCCCGAGCTCGGCCTTTGGGGCCAGGCCCCCTCTGGCTTAGCCTGGCCACGCCTGCCGCTTCCGCCGCAGGGCCTAAAACAGGGCTATTATTTGGGGAGGCCTGAACTCTGGCACCGAGGAAGGAAAGGCGCATTAAAATAAAAGACGCATTCGCACCCCTCCGCTTTCGAAGGAGAACCACCGGCTGGGGAACTGGGGGAGTTGAGGTCCACAAGTCTTAAAAGTTGCCACGGAGACTCCTGCCGTTTTGAAGCAGCGTACAAGCAGATTTGCACTCTGCACATGCTCTGGCCAGCTTCCACATCCCAAGGGAAAGTTACTCTGTTCGGATTTCAGCAGAGAAACCTCCAGGACAGCCTTCCTCCAGTTGTTGTCCGCCCCCCCCCCCCCCCCCCCGCACAGGGCAGGAATTCCCAGGAGGGAGGGGCTTGAACCCAGTCCGGCCCTTCCCAGTTGCCACCTTCTGCACAGGTGCCGAGCTACCTCTGATGGGGTCAGCAAAGAGCCACAGCTCCCTCTGGTGGGCAGGAGGAGGAAGTTGGCACCCAGTAAGGGTCTGGCTGGGGGGGGGGGAGAACTGGGCGGAGTTAAGGGGCGGGGGGTCTTCTCAGCCAGGCCCCTTCAAGGCCCTCAACCCCACAGGCCACCCGGCCCACCAATCGCTGGGGGGGGGGCTAGGGGGCACATCCTGGGGGCGCTGCCTTGGGCAGGGGTCCCGCTCCAGAGGGGCCCTGGGCAAGGCAGCTTGGGCGGCCCCAGAGCCCGCCGTGCCCAGCAGGTTTCTTTAGGGCCCGGACGTGAATTCTGCCCTCCTCCTTGGGCTGCCGCCAGCTGGGCCGGGGTCTGTTTTTCCTTTCGCAGGTGCCCCCGGAGCCTCTGGCAAAGGGGCCAGAAGCACGTGAGGCGGGGCTGCCTAGGACCCCCGGGCTCTGGGTTCGGATGCTCGGTTTTTACTTCCAGAAACAAGCCCCAAAGGCGTCCAGCTAATTCTTGGCTTAAAGCCGTTTGTTTAAGTGTCGCCTGAAGACACAAAAGCATCGAAAGGCGACTACTTCCAGCTGGTCCTCGCACTTACGACCGTTGCTGCCCCCGAGGGCCACGTGGTCAAATGTGAGCGCTAGGCGTGTATTCACAATGCTTGCAGCTCCAGCCAAGTCAGTGGGGGCAGCTGGACTCACTTAATGACCGTGCGGCTCCCTTAACAACTGCGGTCTCTCAACAACCAAAGTTGTGAAACCAGGCGATAGAACGGCCTCCGCCTCCTCCTCCTCCTCATTTAGCGGTGGATAATCTGGTTCCCAGCTGTGCCGGCAAGTGGAGTCATCAGCCCCGCCAGGTTAGGAAAAACCCAACTTCCCGTTAAGCAAAGGACCCCCCCCCCCCCAAGAGGGAAGGCCCTGTCGGAAGCCCCCCCCTTGCAGCCCCTGGGGTTCTCGGCCACCCAGCTGCCTTTTGAAAAAGCCCCTTTGGGATCTCCAAAGCTTTAGAGTAGAGTAGAGCTGGAAGGGTCCCTGGAGGTCATCTAGTCCAGCCCGCTGCTCAAGCAGGAGACCCTCGACCATTTTAGACAAGCGGCTCTCCAGGCTCTTCTTAAAAGCCTCCAGGGATGGAGCAGCCACCATTTCTGGTAAGTGGCAAGCAGTTCCCCTGGCCGATGGTTCCCACTGGCAGGAAATGTCTCCCTGACACCAGGCGGCTTCTCTCCTTGGTTAGTTTCCATCCGTTCTCCTGCCTTCTGGTGCTTTGAAGAATGATTTGACCCCCATTCTTTTTTGGGGGGGCAGCCCCTCAAATGCTGGAAGGCTGCTATCCTGTCACCCCTAATTCTTCTTTTCTTTAGACTAGCCAGACCCCAAATCTGCAGCTCTTCCTCGTATGGTTTAGTCTCCGGGCCTTTGATCATCTGAGTTGCTCTTCTCTGAACTTTTTCCAAAGTCTCAAACGTCTTTTTTGTAACGAGGCGACCAAAATTGGTTGCCGGATTCCAGGTACGGCCTCCCTTGAGCCCCGGTGGCCCAGTGGCTGGTGGAGCGCTACAGGATCCTTCTGGTGCCTGCGCTTGGGCCGTTCCAATCCCACCAGGCTCAGGGTGGGCTCAGCCGAGGTGGGTCAAAGGAGGAGCCAGAGGGTTGGGGGCAAATAGGCTGCCTCTGTAAGGAGAGGGCTGGACTCCTGCTCAGGGAGGGCTGGGAAGCCCTGGGAAGCAGCCTCGAAGGGCTCTTATATCGCTGCTACCACGACCCGTTTGTGAAGCATTATAGAGCTTGGAAACTCCGTGGGGCCACCGGGGGGCAGCAGAGAGCAGAGCCCGGCCTTTCCGGAGGGGCTCTTAAGAATGAACTGTACAGAAATTGCCCCCCCCGCCCCCCCCCCCCCCCCCCCCCCGGGTTCGTCGGCCCCCCCCCCGGCGCCCCCCGGGGTCTCCCGGGTGTGCGGCCAGCATGGGGGGGGGGGGGGGCAGGCCTCCCCGGGTGGGAAAGGGGCGGGGCAAAGGGGCGTACCTCTCCCGCACGAAGTCCGCCAGCTCCTTGGCCGAGATTTGCCCATGTTTCATGTTGTGATACAGGACGTCGAAGCCCTGGTTCTTCTCTCCCTGGGTTGGGGGGGGGCAACCGAGACAGGAAAGTCAGGGGCCGCACTGGGATCAGGGGGGGGGGGGTCTTCCCAACCTGTCCTGGTGCCCCCACCCCCAGGCCCCTCCCCAGGTGGAGCTCTCCCCCAACTTGCGGAGGAGCAAGAGGGGCAGCTGCCCAGGGGATTCGGGGGGGGTGCGCAAAGGAACCCCCCCGCCCACTGAGGGGAGCAGGGCTGGCTGGGGAATTCTGGGAGTTGAAGTCTCTTCGAGCTGCCAAGGCTAAGCAGGCTGTGTTGGACTACCAGTCCCAGCTTCCCCAGCTGTTAGCCAAGATGGGAGGAGTTCAGAGGTGGGCTGCCAAATGGGGGGGGGCTCTCCCTCTCCAGAGACTTCCAGAGGGAGCCCCGAGGGGGGGTTCTGCTGTTCTTCAGGAATTTGGGGGGTGGATGGATGCCCCCCAAGGCTGCCACAACTGCAAGCCCACCGCTCACAGCCACTTCCCAGGGCGCCCCGACCGAAGGAGCCTGGGCTGGGGGTGGGGGGGGTCTTCTGCCCCAGAGAGCTGGCCCAGGGCAGCGTCCCCCAATCACCCAGGGAGGCCTGCCCACAGCTCTGCCCCCCCCCCAGCCCCAGAGCCAAGGGCCCCTCCCAGCAGCCGGACTGGGGCTTCCCATGCCAGGCAGCGCCAGCCACTCAGCTAACAAGCGCCATCCCAGTCTCTGCCTGCAGGAGGCAAGGGCAGGGAGGGGGCGGCTGGGCTGGGCACAGGAGGTGGGCACAGGAGACCCCCAAGGAAGCTTCAGGGCCAGCAAATGAACCTGAGCACTTTGGGGCCATTAGAGAGGAATCCAGCCCCCCCCCCCCTCCGCCCCCCCAGCTGCAGAAGCCGGGGGGGGGGAGGGAACAAGGAAGCCCCCTGCCGCCTTCTCTGCCTGCCGCCCTGCAGCTGAGGGTGGCCAAAGGCAATGCCCACCCCCCCCGGCTTACCTGCCCCCCCTCCCTTTCAGCCACTTTTGGGGGCAGGGGCTCCAGGGACGAGCCTCCGGGTGCAAATCAGCCCACGTGGAGTCAATTCCGCCCCCTCCCCAGTCCGCATCCCATCGGGCTTCCTGGGACGCTGTCCAGCTGACCAGCGTCCTTCCTCAACCGGGGCCTCCGGCCAGCGCAGAGAAGGAGGGGGAGCATTGGCTGCTGACCATCCAGCCCCCCATCCCCCACCGGCCTTTGCTCCTTCCTGCCCCCCAAAGGGAGAACGGGAAGACCTGCTCCTGCTCCCCCTGCTCTGCCCCCCGTTCTCCGGGCCCCCGTGCCGTTTCCTCTCTGGCCACAGACGGTGGTTCTTTTGAGCTGGCATTCTTCCCATCGCTGAGGACTAGAAACCTGCTGGGGGTCCTGTGCAAGGCTCAGTGGAACGGAGGATGTGGGGAGAGTTTCCGGCCCTCGGGCACCACTTTCGCTTTGAAGAGGGTAGCGTGGCATCCCACGTGGCAGAGGAGGGCACCTCCCTCGCTGGGGATGGGGGCTGCCCACGGCTGCCTTCCTGGGCCTGCAGGCGGCCCCGACCAGCTTGGACTGCAGCTGCCACGGGGCAAGTGGCACCAAGGGTGGGCTCCCCTTTCCCCTCTGGGGGTGGGGGGGCTTTCTGGGCAGCCATGAGCAGGTCCCGAGAGAACCCCCAGCCCCGCCAAAGGCCCCGGGGGGGGAACGGGGGCAGCTGCAGTCCAGTCCCTCCTGGCAGCCGTCGGGCTCCCTGCCAGCCCCCCCTCGCTGAAACGCAGCAGGGGGGCCTTGGGGGTCTGCTGGGGGCCCCAGCTCAGTCCCAGCGGCCTCCTCAGCCCCTCTTGCCACCCCCCCTTTCTTGGAGGGGCCCCTAAGGCCTTGGCCCCACAGGAGACGAGGGGCGCTCCTTACCCAGAAGTGCTCCGCAAAGACAGACATGGCGGCCGGGGGCTGGGCAGTCGGGCCTCTTTCAGCTCCTGGAAACCTGGGGAGGAAGACTGGGGTGAGGCGGGGGTGGGGGGTCTTCAAGGAGAGCCCAGAAGTGCTCCAGGCCCCTCCTGGGTCCCCCCAGCAAAGCGGCCAGGCGAGGGGGTTCACCCCGAGAGCTGTTGCCCCCCCGCTTGCCCAGAGAGCGAGCCCCCTCCTGCAGGAGAGCTCCAGGAGGCCCCTCCACATCAAGGGGGCTGCTCTGCCCCTCCCCCTCCTCCTGCACCCCTCCTCGCTCTTCCGGGGGCCCCCTTCTCCCAGGGCAGCCCGGGGCCTCCAAGGAGCCCCGCTCTCTGCAATTGGGGGCCAGGGTGAAGCAGCGAGAGGGGCCGGGGGGGTGGGGGATCCTTGGCTTAAAGACAGGGGCTCCACTGCCCACTTCCTGCCACAGGAAAGGTGGCAGAGGCCGGGCATCGGAGCCTGATCCTCCCCCCCCCCCCCCCCCCAACGGGGGCGTCCCCCCGCCCGGGGGGGCCGTTACTGGGGTGGCACCCCCCCCCGCCACTGCGGGCGGGGCAAAAACAAGGAAGTCCCCCCAAAGGACCCCCACCTTGTTTTTCCCCCTTCACATTGGGGGGGGGGCATCTTTGTGCCCCCCTACTGCCCCTCCCTCATCCCATGTCTTCCAAGAATGCCTGGCAGTGGCCTCCTGGCTCGGCCCCCTCTGCCGCCCCCCCCCCAGCCTCGAGGGAGGGGGCTTTGGCTACTCACCTGTGTCTGGGTCATGCTCTCACTGGCAGCTAGCAGGAACTGACCGGATCGTCTCCCTGCGTGGGGGGGGGGGGGGGGGGGAGGAAAGGTTTGAGAGGGAGGGCAGCCAGGCAGGGCCTGAAAAGCCACTTCCTGAGAGCGGTGTTTCCTCCTTTGGCTTGGCAGCTGCCTCAGCTGGCTCCCATCCTACAGTAAAAGCCCCCCCCCCATCTGCATCTGAGCCCCTGGATGGGGAAACTGCAATTAGCGCAAAGTGGCCCCATCCGCTTGGGCCCCTGGCGGTTTCCGTCTCCGTTTGGGTGCTCGAGGCTTCTCGGTCTTCCCCACCTGGGAGGGGGAGGGGGAGGGGCAGCCACATCAATGCTCCAATCCATCCATCCATCCGACCGGATGCTGGGCCGGAAGCCGTGCCTGCACTTCAGTCGGGCTGCATTCGCACAACCGCCGGGCCCGAGTGGCCCCGGCTGCGTTCAGGTCACAGGCAGCACCCGGTGGCCAGAGACTGAGCAGCTCTTAGGCCTCTCTGGGGGAGGGGGGAGAAGGCTGACTGTTGGGTCGGGGGCAGAGGCCTCCCTCCCCCCGTGTCTCCCGCGGGGAGGGGGCTTGTTCTCCCTTGCCAGCTGGGCGGGGGTGGGACACCCTGGCTTGTTCTCCCTTGCCATCTGGGGGTGCGTGGGACCCCCTGGCTCAGGGAGGGCCGGTTGCCGGCTGTCTCCCCAGGAAGGCCGCGAAGTGCAGCCGAGCAATTTTTTCATCCTCCCTGGTGTTTAACCCTCCCCCCCCCCCCCCCCCCCCCTGCGCAGCCCTTCAGCTACCAACCTGCACCCTTGTGGGGGCCCCTGCCCCCGCCCCCAGAAAAGCAGGTCCATCCGTCCCTCCCCCAAGGGAGAAGCAAACGCCCCCACTGGCTGTGTGGGGCAGAGGGGGGAGATCCCAGCCTCCACAGCCCCCACCCTGGCAAAGCAGCTGAAGCGATGCCCACGTAGACCTGGGAGTTGTGCCCAGAAGCCCCCTGGGGGAACGCAGGACCCGCCCCGTCAGGCAGGCAGGCAGGCAGGCGGTGGCATTCAGCCCTACCTCAGTGCCCTGCGGGGAGGACGGAGGCCAAGCTGAGGACACCCAACTGCTGGCCACACAGCACCACACGGCCCAACACTGGAGCATGAAAGTGGAACAACAGAGTGGGAAGGGGCCCTGGAGGTCTCCTAGTCCAACCCCCTGCTCAAGACCCCCTATGCCATTCTGGACAAACGGCAGCCTCTTCTTTAAAGCCTCCAGGGAGGGAGAAGCCACAACCTCTGGGGGAAGCCATTCCACGGGTTGATGGTCAGAAAATTCCTCCTTAATTTTAGGCCGATTCTCTCCTCGTTGCTTCTTGTCCTGCCTTCAGAGTTAGGGTTAGGACAACCTGGGGGGGGGAAAGGGGGGGCAGAAAGGGCACCGGGTGGGTTCTGCCAAGCCACAAGGCCCCCAAAGAGGAATTCAATGAGACGGGCACTGGGTGGGGGTGGGCGAAATGATCTCCAGGGCACCCTCCAGGTCTTCATCCCAGCAGCTCAGAGGCCGGGACAGGCAGCGGGGGCAGAGGGGGTGCGAAGGGAGGCTCTGGGTGCAGCTGGGCCTCCCCTTACCCCCGCTTGCCCCGGATGCGCCGCCCTGCCCAAAGGCCCCCTAAGCAGCGGCTTCTTCCAGGGAGGCATCAGACTGGCTACTGGGAGGGCACAGCTGCTGGGGGGGGGGCAAAAAGCCAGGCCCAGCACAACACAGCCCCCCCCCCCCCAGACTGGAGAGTGGGGAAGGGCACAGAAGAGTAAAGCAATGCCCCAAAACAGAAGCTCCCCCTCCCTCCAGGGGGCTCATCAAGCATTCCCCTCGCCGCCCCCCCCCCAACTCTGAGGCAGGACCAGGAGACGGTTTGGGGGGTGCACTGCTCCTCCAGTTTCCGATGGGGGGGGCTCTCCCCACCTGTCTAATCCGAAGCTGGGGGGGGGGGCGGAGGGCTCCAGGAGGAGAAAGCAGGGCCCAGAGGGGCTTTGGGCAGGGGCGCTGCTCAGAACAGACTGCTCCTGCACAGAGAGGCTCTGCTATCGGCCCGAAGCGTTCTTGAGGGTCCGAAGGGCGCTGGCTGGCAGGGCCCGGCCCGACCGCACAGGCCTCCCGCCCGCCGGCCTGTTTCCAACATGTGGCCCGTTCCGCACCCACAACACGCAACTCGGGTTGCAGCACAAAAGGCCTCCGCTCCCCCCCATTAAACAGCTCCGAGGCGGCGGCAGCGGGACAAGGCTTCCCACCGGCCTCTTGCAGGCAGCCCCCGCGGTCCGATCCGCCGGCCGGAAGCCCTGAGACCCTCAGCGGGGCCCGATCCCCAGGCCGGGAATGGGGGGGGGCTGGGCGGGAAGCCAGAAGGCCCGAGGCTGAGGGTGCCCGTTGCCGTCCCAGCCTCTCCGAGTCCCCCCCCCCAATCCCGGCTCCCAGGCGCCTCCGCGGGCCGACCCGGCGTCTCAAGTCCCCTCTGATCCCTCCGGCCGGACCTTGGGCTGGACACGCGGCAGACGCCCCCGCCCCCCCCCGTCCTTCCGCACAGAGGCCGCCGGGGCTTCTCCCCCCCGGGGGCCGGACGGGCCACGCTCTGCGCGGGACCCCCGCCCCGATCCCCGCCGAGGCACCTGCAGCCGAAGGCCTCCCGGGACGCCCGAACCGAGCCCGCAGAGGCCCCGCTCGGGCCCACCGCGCCCTCCTCCCACCCCCAGCCCAGCCAGGGAATGGGGGCCGCGATGCCGCCGGCCCCCCCCCCACCCCCGCAGGGCGAGTCGGGCTGGCGGCAGGTCCGCCCGGGGGGTCTGCAGCGCCCCCGGCAGAAAAGCGGCGCCAGAACCAGCGCAGCGCAGGCGGGGAAGCCTCTGCTGGGGCCCCCAGCGCCGACCCCCCCCCCACCCCCGGACCAGCGGCCCCTCCCGCCTCTCCCCGCATTGGCGCCGCAATAAACAGGCGGCCCGCAGCGGCCGCGCGGGGACCCCCCTCCTCCCCCTCTGGGGGCTCAGGATCCCCCTCCCCCCCGTCCAGCCGCGGGGGGGGGGGGGCGGGGGGCCCCCCTGCCCTCCCGCGCTCCTTCGCATCGCGCACCTGCCTCGCCCGCCTCCGCCGCCCAAGGACCCCCCCGCGGAGGAGGGGCGGGCGCGGGGCGGGGCTTGCGCGGGCCTGGGCGGGGGCAGGACGGAAGGGAGCCTCGGCCCGGATTGGCTGCCGCGTGCTCCTCTCACCCCCCACTCCGCGGGGCTCATTTGCATGTTTAAAGGGGCCGCGGCCGCGTTTCCCCGGACAGCGGCGGCGCAGAGCGATCCTGGCGGGCGCGGAGCCGACACGGACAAGGCGCCGCTCGTTCGGCTCCTCCCCAAGAGCCCGCCTGGCCCGGCCCTTTCCCTGAAGACGCGGCTCCGGAAAGTCCCGCGGCTGTCCGGGCGAGGCGGCTCTCCGGCGGGTCTGTCCGGAGCGGCCCGCGCGACCCCTCGGGAGCATCGCCCCCGCTGTCCCGAGACGGGGCTGCCCCCTCGGTGGGGGTCGGGCAACGCTGGCCGGACGCCGTGCCTGCCCCTGCCCGGGAGGCTCCTCCGCGGGGCCCCGCAGGCAAAGGGCTGCCTGCCCCCAGCCCCGGTCCCGGCTGGCCCCGCCCGCGGGATGCCGGGGGTCCCTCCGCCCGCCCCTCCCGGCCTGGAGAAAAGGAGGCCCGGTCCCTCACCCGGGGCCCCGGTCCTCTTGCCCCCTCCTCCTCTTAGGGGACACCCGAGTCCTGCCCAACCCGCCTCCCCTCCCTCCCGCCCGGGGATCCCATAGGCGCCGGTTTAGCGCACCAGATGCTTCCCAAACGGTATCTTTTCCCAGGCAGTTGCCATGACAACAGGTCTACTCCATCCTCCCCGCCGTGCAACCAATGGCAACGGAGCCAGCTGATTTGGGGAGGGAGCTGCTGGCGGGAACAAGGCGGCGGCGGCGTCTCTAGCAGGGATTTGCCCTCCAGTCAGGATCCCGGGCAGGAAGGCGCCCTCTAGCGCTGGGCAAAGGATGCCAGCCTCCGGTTCCCCACCCTCCATCTCTGGGTGCTCCGCGGGGCCCCCCTCCCCGCAGTGGCCTGTGACCCTGGTGTGGGTGTGGGTGAGACCGGCCACACCTGGCCAGGCAGGACCCCAAGTGCCCGCAGCGTCACCTGGCCGGCCAGCCCTGCCTCCTTCGCACTCAAAGCCCTTTATTTGACACAGTCCCTGCCGAGGAGCCGTGGGGCCCAGCAGCGCCTGAAGGGCCACAGAGACGCACCAGACACCGGTTGAGCTACGTCCTTCTTTTAATGGTTTAATAAGAGTTCCACACAGGTGTGCATTTGTGTGTGTGCGCGCACACGTAACATTTGTGTATCACGGGGTTAACTGTGTAAGGGTACAACAACATCCTCCCCCCCCCCCCCCCCCCGCGCGGCCGGGGGGGGGGGGGGCCCGCCCCCCCGCGCCCCCCCCCCCTCCGCCCCCCAGAAAAGATCCCCCCCCCCCCCCCCCCCCCCCCGCCAACACTTCTAGACACACATCATGCGGGTACAAGAGCCAGGAGGAAATACGGGGAGGGGGACGGACCCCTCCTCCCGCTCAGGAGGGGAACCTATAAATTATAAACCTTCCATGTGGTTACAGTTTGGGGGGGTGGGGGGGTTACAAAAAATATATAAAACACATTAAAAAAAACCGCATTTCCTTCCTTAGAAAACGAAAGACTTAGTGTCAAATTGGAAGGGGGGGCCCCCCCCCCCCACTTTCCTTCACATGTTAGGAGGAGGAGGAGGAGGAGGAGGAGGAGGAGGAGGGGTCTTCCCGGAGGAGGGACCCCCACGGGCTGGATTTGGGCCTTGGTGGCTGAAGCCCCCAGAAAAACTGCCCCACCCTCCAAGGTTCTGAACATAAAAGAGGTAGAACACACCTGGGGGAGTGGGAGGCTGGAGGGGGGGGGACCCCTCCCCAGGAAAGAGCCAGACCCAAAGCCGCTCCTCTGCCAGCTTCAGGAAGGCCGGAGCCCCCCAAAATCACAGCCACTTCTCCCCTGGGGAGGCCCCAAAGGATGTCCGCCCCCCCCCCCACCACAGCTCTCTGCAATCCCTCAGTGGGGGGGGAAGACACAAGGGGGGCCAGTACAGGAGGGCCCGGCTGGACCCTCTGCCTCCCCAGAGACAGAGAGACACCTGGCCCCACATCAAAGGCGGGGGGGAGGGGGGGGAGAAGCACCTGCCCAAATGTGCCCTGTGGGGGGGGGCAGCCACGGTGGGCCCCTCCTGGACCCTCCCCCTCCCTCCCTCCCTGGGTGGGCTGGGGTGAAGCTGTGTGGTGAACATGCAAACAAACCGGACAAATTGGGAGTGGGGGGGGAGGGGTGCGACTCCCCCTGGGTCAGGCCAAGTGCTGCTGGTGCCCCCCCTCCGCACCCCCCCCCAAAGCCCAGGGGCTCTTTTGGCATGAAGCACAGCTTTGGAAGGAGGCGCCGCTCCTTCCGGGACCCGCCGGCCCTTGGAGGGGGGAGGGGAGCAGCCCCCCCGCCCCCCCCCGCTCAGAACTCCACTTTGCAGGCCGGGAAGGTCTCGTCCTGCATGGCGACGGTGCTGTTGCTGCCCAGGACGGTCACGCCCAGCTCCTGCTGCCGCTCCAGCGTCTCCGTGTACCACTCGTGCATGACCAGCGAGTCGAAGGTGGGGATGAGGGTGACCTGAGCGGGGCGGAGACGGAAGAGGCCTCACTCTCCCGCCCTCCCTCCCTCCCGCCCGGCCCCCCTTTGGGGACGCTCGGACGGGGAGGGGGCCCGTCCTGGAGACGGAGGGGAGGCGGGGCACCCCCCCCGCAGGGCAGCCCCCTAATTTGACCCCAGGTGTCTTGGAAGCCTTGGGACGGCCGGTGCCCCCCCTCCCCTCCCCCCCTTTGTCACCAGAGCCCCCCCAACTGGCCGCCTGGGGGCTCCCACCGGGGAGGAGGGAGGTGACTCTGTTCTATGAGGTCGCAGTCTTCTAAATCCCATTGATCCAACATTGGACTGTCTCTCCCCCCCCCCCCCCCCCCCCCCTGCAGGCAGGAGTTCAACAGGCAGCTCTGACTTTGGGTAGGAAAACGGAAAGGGGCGGCTGTGGCCCCCAGCTGCACCCCAAAGGTCCCCTGAGAAGGGGGCCCAGTCCGGGCTGTGGGCTGCCTCCTCCCCTTCCGAGAACCCCACTCAGAGGGACCCCCCCCCTCCAGGGGGAGAAAGACTTGGGGTCACTCGGCCGGCAGAAGAGGGAAGGGCAGCCCCACAGGGGAGCGCGAGGGCAGCGGGCTTCTCCCTCTTGCCCAGAGGCAGAACCAGGGCCAGGGGCTACGAGGAGGAGGAGGAGGAGGAGGAGGAAGGGGCTCAGGCCGGGCCCAAGGCCCCTGTGTCTGGGCAGCCGCCCCCGGCCTGCGCCCCTCACGGTCCCCTGGCAGCCGGAGGGCCAGCCGAGGCCCCGCCCCGCCCCGCCCGAGGGTCCTACCTGGGTGTCGTGGGCCCAGTGCTGCTTGCCCGAGAGCAGGGCGTCCAGGATGCCCCGCAGGACACTCTCCTTCAGGTGGTCCTCCCCGCTGATGACGTAGCACTGGGAGCGGACGCAGCGGAAGAAGTCCTCGTCCACCTTCTGGGCGCTGGCCGAGCCGGGCAGGTAGGCCAGCTCCAGGTACACCGGGCCTCGCGGCAGGCCGGGCCGGGCCCCTGCGGAGGAAGCAGAGCAGAGGTGGCCAGGGAGCGCGGGCCCAGGCGCCGGGGAAGCCCCCAGCTGACCCTCAGGACAGAGTCCGTCCCCGACCCCCCCCGGACCTTGGGCCACGGACTTCCTTAGCCCACCCTCCCCTCTGAGCGACGGGAGAACCCCCAAACCGGCCTTCGCATCAGGCAAGCAAGCAATGCCCGCCCCCAGCTGACCGGCCGTGAAGACCAACGGAAAAGCCGATGTCTAGCGAAACGGTCCCGGCCGAGGCTGCTGACCGGGTCCAAGGGGAGGGGGGAGGGGAGCCCAAGGCTAGGGCCTGCTCAGGGGCCTCCTCCTTTGTGGAGGGCAGGGCACCCGGCTCTCAGTGGAAAAGCAGCCTGAGCTGCCCCGAGCCCAGCTGCCTGGCAGGGCCGGCGTCGGGCACCTGCTCCGAGATGGGAAGGGCAACGCGGCTCCCTTACCTGCCGAGGCGGCTCTTCCTCCCCCCGGGAGAGGCCGGGCGCTGGCGTTCCGCTGGGCGAAGGCCAAGCGGTTGTCCCCGCTGGCACGAGAGGCCGGGGGGTCGCTTCGGCCGGGGACCGGCAGCCGGGCTCTCTCCCCCACGCCGGCCGAGGAAGGCTTCGCCCGGGCACTGGGAGCGGCGGCCTTGAGGGCGTCTGCTTTGGGAGGGGCCGAAGACCCCCGCAATGAGGCCCGCTTGGCTTTGGCGGCCCCCTCTCTCTCAGGGTCCACCATGCAGATGCCCGGCTGGGCAGGGAGGGGGCAGGGGTCTTTCAGGAGGGCCGGGAGTGGGTCGCGGGCCTGGGCGAGGCTCTCCGGGTCGTCGTCGTCCGAGTCCAGGGCTCCATCGGCCGTGAGAGAAGGACACTCTTCCATGGCAGGCGGGGCGTCCGAGTCGGAGAGGGTGGGGAGCGATTCGCTGAATGATGTGGGTGGGGTCTCGTCCAGCAGAGGGTGGGACCGGCGGGCTCGGGGCCCCTTCCTGTGCGACAGGGGCTTGGTCATTTCCTGGGAGAAGTCACTGCTGTTGGACACGTCCCGGGGGCTGAGGTTGGCCGAGGGGGACCTGTCTGACTTGGGGTGCTCAAACTCACAGGGGGACACCAGGCAGAGGTCCACGTCATGAGGGGAATCCGACCGCTGGCCGGACCTGGGCAGGACACGGCCCTCCAGGCGCTGGGGGTGGCAGGAGAGGATGGGCAGGGACATCCCGCTCTTCCCTAGCGCCGGCTCGGGGTCTGGGGTGAGCCCCCCGCCCTGCAGGCCCTCTCCTTCCTCCTGGGGGAACTCGCTGACGGGCGGCAGGAGCAGCTCGAAGGAGATGGAGAGCGACTCGTCCACCTCCGTGGAGTGCGGGGACCCCACTTCGGCCGGCAGCGACGGGGTGGTGAGCGTGGGGGAGACGTCATGGAGGTCGTCCCGAAAGAGGCCGGGGGAGAGGCAGCCGGGGGGCTTCTCCTGGGAAGAGCTGGAGTTGTCGCGGGAGGCTTGGGGGCCGGCGCCATCGGGCCTCCAGGGCTGGGGGAGGGCCACGGGCTCCTCCTCCATGGGGGAGGGGTGGGAGGGCGTGCGCCCCGCACTGGCCGGGGACATCATCTCCAGGGTCTTCTCTTCAGAGCTGCCCCCGGCCTCCTCCGCGTCCGGGCAGGGCTGGAGCCGGGCCGGAAGGCCGGTGGGGGAGAGCTCCAGGTCGAGGCTCTGGTTGCTCTTGGCCAGCGGGGAGGGGGGCCCAATCCCCTTCAAAGGCGAGCCGGCTTCCAGGTGCCGGAAAGGCTGGGGGCTCTCTGGGCCCCGCCCTGGGCCCAAGCCGTTCTGGGGGGCCTCCGGGCCCTTCCCCTGGCACTCCAGGCTGCCCAGGGGGGAGGGCCTCCGCTGCCTCTCGGCCAGGGCGTCGGGCTCCCCAGGCGCCTGCCCTGCCCTCCCCAGCTGGCGGAGCCCCCCGGGCAGCTTCTCCTGCGCGTCCTTCTCCGAGGGGGAGGAGGGGAGGCCGCCTCTGGTGCCGCCGGGGGGCTTCCCGGGGGCCTCCTTCAAGGGCCCCTTGCTCTTGGGCCTCTCCGGCTCCTTCTTCGGGGCAGGGGCGGCCTTTTTGAAGGAGCCCGTCTTGGCGGGAGGCCTTTTCACCTCGGCGCTGGGCATCCTCCGCAGCTCCCTTGGGGGCAGCTTGGCTGCCTTCTCTGGCTTCCCCTCCTTCTTGGCCGGCTCCCTCCTGCTCAGCCTCCCCTCCTTCCTGGCCGCCTCCTTCTCCTGAGGCGCCTCTTCCTTCGGCAGCGGCTTCCTCGCCTCTTTCCGGGCCAGCGACGGCTTCTCCTTCGGCTGCTTGGGCCTCGCGTCCGGCCTGCTCTTCTCCGCCGGGGGCTCCGTCTTCAGCTGGGCGCCCCTGGCCCTCTCCTCCTCCACGCTGCCCTTGGAGGCCACGCTGGGCGCCCTGGGCCGGTCCCGGGCCCCGGCCGGCTTCGGCTCCTTCTTCTCCTTGGACTCCGTCAGGCTGAGCCAAGAGCCGGACTTGAGGCTCTCCTGGCTCTCGGCCCTCCGGTGCCCGGCCCGGGGCGCAGAGGAGCCAGCGTCCAGGTCCTTCTGAGTGACCACGGGGTGCCTGAGGAACTCCAGGTGCCGGACCTTCTCCAGCCCTTCCAGGATCCTGGCCTGGGGAGTGCAGCCCGGGAAGAGGACCCGGACGATCTTGTCGCTGGGGCTCACCGGATGCCAGACGAGGAGGGCGCAGATGGAGGTGAGGCACTGCAGGGGCAGCTCCAGCCCTTTGGGGTGCCCGTTCCCGCACCACTGCTGCATGAGGAAGTCCAGCTCCCGGCTGCCCTTCACCGGGTGCAGCACGTACATCTCCAGGCGCCCCACGCCCATCTTCTGAAAGAGGATGGCGGGCTCCGTCCTGGGAGCGGCTTCCCGGGAAAGCGGCTGGGGCCGGATGCCCAGCCGGTGCAGGTACTGCAGGGTCAGGCGGGCCTCGTCGCAGCTCTTCAGGACGCCGGAATCCCCCTCGATGTCCCTCAGCTTCTCCGAGGCGTTGAGGAAGACCACGCCCAGCTCTGGGGAGATGAGGTTCCTCCCCCAGTCCTCCCCCTGGGGGCCCTGGGAGCAGGAAGGGTCCTCCTCCAGCTCGGCCAGCTTCCGCTGCAGCAGGCTGTTCACGCCGGGCAGGCTGTCCGTCCCCACGTGGGTCACCAGGATGGAGTCGATGCGGTCCAGGTGGCGCACCAGTTTCCAGAAGGAGGAGCGCGGGTTGGAGCCCCCGTTGACCAGGAGGTTGAAGCCGTTGACCGCGAAGAAGGCCGAGTCGCCCCGCCCGCCGGGGAAGACGTAGCAGCAGGGCCTGGAGAGCTTCAGGAAGCCGACGGTGCTGGGGGGCTCCAGGAGGTCGAAGGGGGAGGGGGGCTCCAGGGACTCCGCGAGGTACTCCGTGAACTCCTGCAGGCCCTCCATCGGGGGCAAGAGGCAGCCGGGGTTGAAGCGCAGGTCGATGAAGTCCAGGAGGTTGTGCTGGCTGAGGAGGCGGGGGTCCTTCCACTCCCCAAAGTCTGGGCTGACCACGGTCAAGCTGGCCTTGGCCGAGGGGTCTGCCGAGCTGAGCAGCTCCCCGACCTGGAAAAGAGGAAGAGGAGGGAGAATTGGAAGACCCCTCCCCAAAGGGCCCCCCCCCTCTCTCAGAGCAGCGCCTGGTCCCCGGGGTGCCTCTTCCTCACACGAGGCCGGGAGGGAGGGAAGCCACAGGGAGCCCGGCTCTCCCCCCTCTGACCCTACGTTCACTCGGGGGGGGCTCTGCTCGGCTTTGGGGGACCCCGGGGCGGGGGTCCAGGGGAGGCACTCGGGACCCTCCTGGCACCGGGGCGCCTGGGGAGAGAAGAGGGCGGAGGCCATTTCCTCCCCATCGGTCTTCAGGGGGCTTCCCCTCAATGTCCCCCATCCTCCTCCTTTCTAACGGCTTCCCCGCTTGGGCGCAACGTCCTGAGAACGTGGGGCTGAGCGACACTGAAAGGCTGCCAGCCGGAAGCCCCCCGTCCCCCGTGGAAGCTGCGAGGGAGCCTGCAGGCGGCAGAGGGCCCCCCCCCAGCCTTCCCACAGCTGGTCCCGTGGCCCGGCCAGGCCCTCGGAGGCCCCCCCCCGCGCACTTGCCAAGGGCCGCGCCTGCCCTCATCGCTTTGGCGAGTTCCAGTTCCTCCAGCCCCGGCCCATTCGCCAGGCGCCTGCTCCCCCCGCCGCCCCCCGCTGGGGAGACAGCCAGCCACCCCCCCTCCCTGCCCTGCCCCCGCCCAGCGCCCAGGAGCGGCGGCAGTCGCACCTCTTTGTCCGCGAAGACCTGGATGAAGTCTCGCCAGGAGAAGGAGCCTGTCTGCAGCACCAGCTCCCCCGTCTCCTCAATGCAGGGCCCGGCCAAGATCAGCAGCTTGTGGCGCGAAGGGTCCGTGATCAGGTTGCGGAGCTGCCCAGGGAGAGGAAGGAAGGAAGGAAGGGAGGGAAATGGGGCAAGCCGAGGAGCCCCCTCCCTCCGCGGCCCCAGGACTCAGCCAGAGCAGCCCAGCTCTCCCCCAAAGGAGGCCCCGGGGAGACCTTGGCAGGATTCGGCTTTTGCCAACTAACTTACGGGCCCAAATTGCAGCCTGGGCTGAATCGAGGGGTGTGTGTGTGTGTGTGTGTGTGTGCGTCCGTGTGTGCGTATGTGTGTCCGGGTCCCCCAGCAATCACTCCCTCCAGACTGGTGGGGGACGCCAACCTTGCCAGGAGGGGGGTGGAGTTGCGAGGCTTCTCCTCAGGCCTAGAGGGGCCAGGCTGGGGGTCCCAGCCCCCCGGCCCCCCCTCTGCCTGGGCAGGGAGAGGGAGCGCGGCCTCCGTCCCAAGGGAGGCCAGGTGGGGGGCCCTGCCCAAAGCCCCTCCTGAGGAGCTTCTCTGCTTCCCTCCTGAGGGGCTCAGTGCTCCCTTCACGCCCCCTCAAACCCTGAGGGCAGCTCGGGGCCCGGGGCCCTCTGGCCTGAGCTCTGCCCCAGGGAGGCCTTGGCCTCCTGCCGCTGCTGCCGCCGCTGCCGCTCACCTCGTCACAGATGGACTTGTCTGAAGGGTTCAGCAACACCAAGGTTTCCAGCACATCGCCACGGTGGTGGAGGGCACGCTGGCCTGCGGAGGAGGGGGGGAGAGGCGGGCGCTTGGAAGGCGGGCAAGATGCGAGGCAGGACCCCGGCCTTCCCCGGCCCAGCAGAGCCGCCCCCCCCAGCACAAAGCCCCCCCCCAGCACCCGAAAGCAAGCAGGTCGGCAGCCACCTGAGGGGGAGACTGACCCTGGGGCCCTGACCCCAAAGGAGACCCACACTTGGGCCACCTGGAGCCTGGAAGGAACCTGGGAGGCCTCGGAGAGCAAAGCGCCGTCCCGACCAAGCGCCGAGAGCCTCTCTCCCCAGGTGTGTGTGCGTGTGCGTGTGCGTGTGTGTGTGAGAGGGGCTGTCTCCACCAGGCAGGCCGGCCCGCCCTGCAGAAGGGGAGCCCCAGGACTGGCCAAGGCTTCCGAGGCTGCCAGAGACAAAGGGTCCCGGGGGCAGCCTGGGGTCCTGCCCCATCTGGGCCCTTCAGCCCAGGAGCCTGCTTCTGCCCCCTCCCCAGATCAAGCGCCAAGGGGAAGGGAGGGCAAAACGTTTCAGTCCCTCTGCGAGTCTGTCGAGCTCAAAACAGCCATTCCGGGACTGAGCTCACCAGCCTTCTGAACGGCCAAGCCGGCCTGTTTCAAACCCAGATGGGAAGTTTAATTTCGGCCGCTTGGCTCATCACACAACGTTTGGTCTCTTGCAGGCACTCAGAGCCTGTTACTAGGACAGAAAGTCAGACAAAAAAACGGTCCGGCTAACTAGAAGAACGTTCCTAAGAGAGACGGACGTCTTATGCCGTCCAGGGAACTGATCAGCAGGAGACCCAGAGTAGGGGGGGGGGGGGGGGGGGGGGAGGGGGGGGGGGGGGGGGGGGCTCAAAGAACAGCCGGCTGCTCTAGGGAAGCGGCTGGCCAGGGAGGGGCCGAAAGCTCCCAGCCGTTTTGTTTCTCCCCCAGTTTGCTTTCTGGGGCAAGAAAGACCCAGCCATGCCCTGGGGGGGGGGCGGGGGGGGGCTGGGCTCAGTTGCCCTTCTGAGCAGGTGGCCACGGCCAGGCCAGAGCCAGACAACGGCACCATTTCAGGACCGTGAACGGCACGGCAGCCACCCAGCCAACTCGGCCTGCACCAGAGCCGCGCGTCCTGCAGGCGAAAGGCAGCCTGAGGTCTGCCCAGGTTAGTCCGGGCCGCGGAGAAGGGCTGCTGGCACCGGAGGGGGGAAACGGGTCGGAGCCCCGGGCGCTATTCGGAGGCAGCCGAGGCCGCCAGCCCCACAGCCAAGGACAGGAGCCACCGGGGCGGGCCCTCTGCTCTTGCCCGGGCTTCCCCCCTTCCAGGCGGGCAGCAGATCCGGGGCAGGAGAGGGTGGGTGGGGGGCGTCTCCAGGAAGGCCTTCGAGAGGCCGGCCCCAGGAGGGCCCAAATGTGACCCGACCCTTCGGAGGGCCAAGCCATGGGGCTGACCCAGGGGCCAGTGGCAGGGACAAAAAGCCAGGGAGACAGCCCACGACCCCCCCCTCCCAGGTGCCCCCACCCCAGTCGGCCCTGGTCCACAGAACAAATGTTCCCTTCCTGCTGATCAGGGACCCCCACAGGAAGGAGCTCCTGGTGGGGGCACAAGGGGGCCCAGCGCAGACAGCCAGGGCCCTCCCCAGGTAAGGCGGGGGGGGGGGCTGAATGAAGCCGGCTCTCCTGGAAAGCCCCCCCCCCCCCCCCCGGAGGTCAGCTGATGGGGAGGGGGGGGGGGGGCCCCCCCGGCAGAATATGAACGGGGGGGGGGGGGGGGGGGAGGTACGGAGCAACGATGCAAAAGGCCCCCCTGGGGAACAAGGACCAAAGCAGCCCAAGCCCACCAAAAGGCCCAGCGTGGGAGGTGGGCAGGCCACACCCTTCAAGCCGCAGCTGCACAGCAGGCTCAGCACCCTCCCAATGCTCTTCTTCCTTTGGCCCCTGGGACCCCCACCAGACCCCCACCCCCACCCACCCTGGGCCAGTTGTCCGGAAGAGGAGGAGGGGGGGAAGGGAGCCCTTCCTTTGCCCCCTCCCTCTCCCCCTCCTGCCTCTCCGCAGGCCCCTCAAGAGGCAGGCTGGGCCAAGACAGAACCGGACCCTTCACTGGGAGGGAGGGGGGGAAGAGGCAGCCCCAGAGAGAGAGAGAGAAAGAGAGAGAGAGGCGAAGGGAGCCCGTCCCGGGGCCTTTGGGAGAGATTTCACAAGCACAGACAGACCCCAGGCCTGGGCTCCTGCCACAGGGATACAAAACCCCCGCCTGCTTCCAGGTGCAGGACGGCCGACTGAGCCGCCCTCCCTCCCTCCGGCCGGACCCTCTGGGTGAAGCGAGGGCAGGAGATGGGCCACTCGCCCGCCCAAAGGCAGCTCCTCCTGCGGGGGCGGCAGGACGGTGGTTCCCCACGGATCTGAACACAGAGGAGCGAAGGGAATCGTCCTGGTCTCTGGCCACGCTTTCGTATCCCTCCTGCAATTCCCCTATTTAAGTAGGCGAAGGATCTTGAGTCCTTCAAAACGGGAAGTTTGGAAAGCCCCCTGGTGAGTTTCCCTCTCGTCTGGAACAAAAGTCAAATTAACTGTTCAGTTTAAGAAACAAAAAGAAAGAGAGAGAGAAAACTGAGAAAGTATTTAAGACAGAAAGAAAAAAAGGACTCAGGGGTCAGAAAAACTTGGAACCTTAAAGGCTTCTGCTAAAAGCTTTGGGGAGAAATTAAACTAACCAACGGTACCTCCGTGCAAATACCGTTTAGCTTAAGAACTGATAGTCAAACCTTTTGAACAAAGCCGCTCGGAGTCACCTGGCGGGGGAGACAACGGCATAAAAACGTCATTAACCAATAATACACTTCAGAAATTAGACCCCACTCTGGGCAAGAGAAGTCAGGTCTGCCGCTCATTCTTCAACTGCAGAGTAAGGATTCTTCATGTGGGACAAAATGATGGGTAACGGTGTGAAACTCGTTCAAGGCACTTTTGAAAAGCGGGGACGGGAAAGCGTAGCCACAATAGCAGAAATAACATTTCCGTATACGAATAGGTCTTATTTACAGAAGAAGCAAGGACGGTCGTCACAGCAAATGTTTGAAAAACCTTCAACCAAGAGGTGAAAGAAGCTTACGCAGGCTCACAAAAACCCACTTCCAATTTCTGGACTACGGAATAAAGTGGAAGTACAAAAGGCAAGTCAAGATTTACGAAAGAGGGTTGCAAAAGCCTCGAAACAAGCTCAGAGGTGGAAGGAAGGACGGACGGACGGAAGGAAGATCCAAACAGCCTCTGAATGGGTCCAAGGCTCAGACTGAGAGAAGGAAAAACAAGGAATCTTAAGGCTTGGCCAGGGTTAAGGCGAAACTCCGGGGCGGGGGTCTGGCCCTTACGGGTGTTTTGCCGGCAACCGGGTGCTATTGATGTGTGGCTTTGCAGACGGTTTGGGGGCTACAAGACAAAGAAGTAGGTGAGGCAACCTTATAAGGGGGGAGGAGGAATATTACGTTTGCCTCGGATAAATTGTTGTGATGAAATCAGGAAGTCACCTCCTTAACGATTATTCTTTACTTTAAACTTTTTTCTTTCTTTCTTTCCTTTTTTCATTTGTTTCCTCTGAATTTTCTTCTGAATTTCAAGCTTAGAATCTTTGATTATTTTTAAATTTTTCAGTATTTCTTTTTTAAAAAGAGAGTTGAAAACCTAGGCAAAGCCACTCTAGGGCAGGGCGGTCAAACTCAGGGCCCGTAGGCCGGATGTGGCCGGCTGGGGGCTCCTCTCTGGCCTGGAAATAGCCGAGGACCGGCCCACGGTGCCTCTGCCGGCCCAAGTGGGGGCGGGGGAGCCAGCAGGGGGCTGCGGGAGGCTATCCAGGCCGAAAAGGGGGCATGGGGGGGGCTCACGGGGTACCCCATACCATTTTCAGCCTGGGCAGCCTCCTGCCGGCCAAATGGGGCATGGTGGGGGGGCTCCCCTCCTCTGTGCTCACCCCAGATGGACACACCTGAACTCCAGGGGACCCCTACGCTTCCAGAGGAGCCGTCACTGAGGGGGCCGTGGCGGGGGGAATGCCAGGGTGGGAAGGACAAGGCCCCAGGCGTGGTCCAGAGGGAGGTTCCCAAGCCCGGCCCCAGTGCCAGCCCCAAGGCAGAAGGGGGCAGGGCAAGAGACAGAGGATGGGAATCGGTCAAGAAGCCCCCCCCCCCCCCCCCGGGGGGCAGGGGGGGGGGCGGGGGGAGGGGGGGGACGGGGGGGGGGGGGGGGGGGGGGTGTGGCTGCTCCACCACGGGAGGCTTTCGAGAAGAGGCTGGACAGCCGCTGGTCTGAAACGGTTGAGCAGGGGGCTGGACTAGAAGACCTCCAAGGCCCCTTCCAACTCTGCGGTGCTGAATTCCCCGGCCAGGGCGACCCCCGGGGGCTGCTTGGCAGGAAGCCCCGAGGAGCAGCAGCCGCTCAGCCCTTTCCTTACCTTTCACTATGTCCGAAAAGGTCGCAGAGTGGCGGGAGACGAAGAGCTTGAGCTGCTGGTCAAGGTTGCAGGCGGTCAGGTCGATATCCCAAGAACGGATCCCTGCCAGGGAGAGGTGCGTGAGAATCCCCCGGCGGCACACCAAGCGCCCCCCGCCGGAAGCGCCAACCTGGGGGCCAAGGGGCCGTCTGGGGAGGGGGCTGCAGCCCCTCCCCCCCGGGGCCCCTGCCGGTGGGGCTGCACTCTCCTTCCCCACAAGCTCCCCCCAAAATGATGGAGGGGGCAGCAGAGGCCAATGGGGCCTTGGTGGGTCGGGTGTTTCAAAACCCCGTTGGGCAGGTGGCTTTGTGTGTCCATCTGTCCCCACCCCCAAACGGAAGGGGTCCACGGAGGCCCAAAGGCCGGCAGGCAGGCCGGGGAGCTCCTTCAGCCCAGCCCCAAGGGCAAGGCTTGTGTCTCTGGCTGTTCCTGGCCCACGCCCCCCCTTGCCCCCCCCCCAAGCTTCCCTGCTGGGCCTTCTGGGCACAAGGACTCCTGTGAGCTCAGGGAGCCCCTGGGCCCTTCGTGGCCTGGAAGGACCAAGGACCGGCTGGGTCCTCCCCCCCCCCCCCCAAGAAGTCCAGACCACTCAGAGGCCCTCGCTCTGCCCCGCAGGAGCCCAGCTGCTTTCCCCCAGGCCCAGCCTTCCACCCCGGCCCCACCTGGGTGTGACTCGGGCCCCCAGACCAGGCGGCAAACGCTCCAGCTGAAGGCCAGGACGGCGGCTCTTGGCGGCAGCCGGGCTTGACTGCTCCCGGCTCCCGAGATTCAGAGGCCGGAGGCAGGCAGGCAGCCCTCCAGGCAGCCACACACACACACACACACACACACAGACACACACACACGGGCATCTCCCTCCCCACCCCGGCGGGCGAGCTCCACCTCCAACCTCCGCACGGAGTGAGCCACGCAGAGCTGGGCAGAGGGGGAAGCGAGACCCGGCGTCCACGGCACGTTTGGACTCTCGGGAGGAACCACATGGGAAAGGGATCCCTACCCGCCACCGGAGTTTGGCAAGAAGGGAGAAGAGCGCCAAACCCAGGGCAACGCCCTTGCACCGGCCGAGGCCCCAGGGCTGCTCTGAGACGGAGCTCCGGCCACATTGACGGGCGGCTCCCACTTGGCAGCGGCCTCTACGGCCAGGACCTGCCCTTCGGAGGCGCCTGGGACCCTGGAGCAGGGAAGGGGGCACAGGCAGTCCTCGGCTTTCGACCCCAGGACGCCACCTCCATCATAAGTACGTGCCGGCTGCCAAGCGCCCAAACTTGGACCACACGGCTGCAACCGGGTGGCTGTGTGAAAAGCAGCCGCAAGTCCTTTTCTACCGGGCCGAAGTAACTTAGAACAGTCACTGGGCGAACGGCTGTAAGTCAAGGACTTTTCCCCATGTGTTGGAATCCCAGGGGATCCAGTGGTCCTCCTCTCCTCTCCTCTCCTCTGATTGGTCCACGGCCCAGCCTGCCCCCCCCCTTTCACCCGAGTACCACATTAACACAGAGAAAGGGCGGAGGGGTTGAAGGGTCAGAAGAGAACCCGGAAGGCGACGCAGGAATTCGGCCCCGATCAGGATCTTGATGGGTGGGAGGATTCTTCTGGAGTGAAGGGAAGGAGATCGGGGGGGGGGGGGGGGGGCTGGGGATCAACTCTGCTTTACGCCCTGGGATTGGGAGAGCAACGGGGCCGACTGAGGCCGGATGAAATGGTTAGTTTCAGGACTGGCATCTCACGAGGACACGACTCTTTATTCTGTATTCTTCGTTCTCTTCAACCACCGCGACTTAGGCAGGTTTTTTTGCCGCATCGTCACTCGTGTATCTTTTTTGCTGTTTCATTAAAAAAAAAAATACCCTGAAAAATAAGGGGATCTGCAATTCTTTTAAACAATCGAAGACGGCGGCCGTGATTACTTCCAATCTAGCGCAACTTGGAAGACCCAAGTCAGCCAAACGTTTAAAGGTGAACAAACCAATTCCGATCTCCAGAATTAGCACCCGGGCATCCGTGGGGCTCCTCCTCCTCCTCCATCCTCCGGGCTTCCCTAGAGCCACATTTGGGGGGCAAATTTGGGCTTCTGCTCTGGAACAAAGTCCCCAAACTCGAGAGCTGAGCCCCCCCCCCCCGTTGAACCGAAAGGGGCCCGGGTCGCCCGGAGGTTTCCCAAAACAGACCGGACAACCAATGACCTTAACCTAGTTTGGGTAATGAGGCACCTGCAAGAAAGCTCAGAGGGCACCAAGGACCCCCCCCAGACCGGAGGAGCTTTTGACCGGGAGGGCGTAAGGCTCCTGCCTGGAGATTTTATTTGGGGGGGTGGGGTCAGGGGGGGGTTGGACTAGAGGCTCCTTCCAGATGAAACCATCCCAATATTGCTCCATGCTGCTTGCAATGGCAAAGCAGAGGACCTCTAAGACGAGCAGAGCTTTAGCCCTCCGGTGCCCAGCCAAGGGCCTTCTCACCTCCGGATGGGGGGGGGCATAAAAGCTCTGTGGGGGGGGCAGGCTGCCTGTGGCCTGCAGTATTGCTGAGACGGCCGCTTGGATCAGGCCTTTGGCTGGAGCTTTTGGCCTCTTTTGAAGGGAAGAAGCGCAGAGGCGAAGAAACTCCAGGCCGGATGCGTGCGTGTGTGCGCATGCGTGTGTGCGTGTGTGTGTGTGTGCGTGTGTCCGTCCAACCTCTGTTCCCAGAGCAGCATGAACCGCCCCGGGGAGGACAGGAAAGGCTCTGGAAAGAGAAGGCGCTTGTGTCCGAGGGTGGCTTCCTGTTGGGAGTCAGGACGGAGGGAGAAAGCCTGGGGAGTGGCAGAGAGGCCGGGAAGGGAGGCTGCAGCCCAGCGGAGGAAGAATCGCCTCTCGGGAGTGGAAAAGAGCAGCGAGGAAGAAGAAAAGCCAGGCGCGTTTTCCCTTTCCACTTCTCCATCTCTTCTCTTGAGAGCCTTTCCCACTGTCACACTCCACCCTGTGTCGGGGAGCTTTGAGGAAGGCCAGCCCCCTCCAAAGCCCACGTGGGGTGACAGAAGTTCCACGGAACAGCAACAGTGGCTGGTCTGCCCACGGGGAGCCAGGCTGCCCGGCATCCGGAGCCCCCCGGAAGGCAGAGCCCTGCATACAGAGAGCAGGCGGGGGGGGGGGGCGGGGGGGGGGGGGGGGAACGAACCTTCGTGCTGCAGAAGCCAGGAGCCAATTCGGCGCCGCAGTCCTGTGGGTGGAAAGCCGGACGGGGCTGCCCAAAGGGCCCATCAGAGAAGGAGCCCCCAACGGCAGCCACAGAGGGGTGGATCCCATCTCGGGGGCAAGCCAAGCCCTGAGGTTGCCGGGATGACCACTGGCCGCCCTCTTCCCTGCATCTAGAGCCCTGCTTCGGGGACGGAATAAAACGATGGCTGTGGACCTAACTGGATCGAAAATAAAAAAAGTGGCCCCAGGTGTGCCTGACCTTGCTTGACCAACCGAAGCCTTGGGGGTGAGGAGCAGCGGATCCCCCTCCCAGCATGGGCCCAGGAACCAGCTCCTCTGGCCGCCCCAACCCCGAGACCTGGGCTGGTCAAGCAAGATCAGGCACAGCCGGAGCCACTTTTTCATTTTTTTATCTAATTGATTCACACCCCATCGTTTTATTCAGGCAAGTCCCTGGGGCAGCCGGCCTTTAAATATGTTAGCCATGTCGAGGCCGCTTCTGGACACGAGGTGGGACGAAACCCCTGCAAGTGGCACCGCCAGGGCCAAGCTGGGCAAAGGAAGAGCCCCCTTGATACCCATGGCCGCCAGGACCAGCGCCTGGCTGGAAGCCCAAACAAACGGAGCCCAGGAAAACACGTGTGATCACTCAAGCTCAGCCTGGAGGGGCAAGGTGGCACTTTCGGGGTCCCCCAAGTGGGATGTTTGAGAAGGGCCTGTAATTCTGCCAAGCTCCACTGAGCAGCAGCCTGCCCAGAGAGCAGGGCCTGCCAAGGATCCGGGACCTGCCTACGGAGCAAAGAAAGGAAAAAAAAGAGAGAACAAAAAGGATCCAGGGGAGATTTGGCTTCAGATCAGTTTACTGCGTTATTAGAAACTGGACCTAGGAGAGGCTAGGAGAGGCTAGGGGTCTGTTTCAGGGCTAACATAACCATCTGTAAACCCAGCCAGGCTCCCAGCCCACGAAGCAAAGGAGACGACGATTGCACGGAGGTCAGAGAATAGTTGAAAAGCGGCAGGTTGACAACGCGACAGGAAGATGTTGCTGCAACAGCCCACGGCCTCTGGCCTCTCAACGAGGCTGTCCGGGGACACTGCACAAAGAAGCCCGTTTCCCGCTGAGCTTCTCCTCCTGTACTCTGCCCTTAACCCAAAGCAAATGCCACCTGGAACCATGGTAGCGTATATAAAGCAGCTCTGTTGCTAGAGAGCTACTGCCTCTCCAGCAGGTGTAGCAGCCAGGCACTTTGAACACTTGTTTACCAATCTGAGGTGAAGGGAAGTGTCTCTTTTTGCACCTCTAAGAACCCGGCTCATTGTGAACCGGGGCTTCTCGATTATCTTCTTTTCTGCTTGCTTGCTTGCTTGCTTGGTCTGGTGGAAAGCCCTGCTCCTCTGGGTGGGGGAAAGGACAGGTTCTGGCCCTTTTGCATCGTCCTGAGCTTTTTCAGCGTCTCTTGTCAAAGGGCTGTAAACATGATTTACCTCTGTGTGTCTGTCAATAGCTAATCTGTCTGAATGCCAAGGTTCCAGGAATTCCCGGGCGTCTTTCCATTTAGCTCGTCTAGGATGCTCAGTCTGTCCACGTGTTGTGAGGTTAAGCTGGCCTTGACCTCTCTAGCCTTCCGTTTGGCCTACATAGTGACCGTTACAGTCCTGACACTGACACTGGGTGTGACTCCTGGTTTCTCTCCTGGGGCTTTCTGCTGGATCTTTGAAGTAACTGTAGTGGCTTGGTGTGTTGTAGGGACGCCACGTCGTCGTAACCGTCTGCTGGCCGTTTCTGACGCAGGGCTGGGTTATCCTTCTCATAACTGGTGCTGTGGTGGGTTGAGTGGCCAGGCGCTTTTTGATAAAGTTGCGTAGGTACCCAGTGTGTCGAAAGACAGG